ATGGATCTCATTAAGATCAGTTTGAGAATAGCTGGTTCATTTTAATCCTCAGCTTTGTGAGGTAGTATAATATTCTATCATCATTCCCATAACAATGAAAGCCCATTTGAAAAAATGGATAGAAATAACCAACCCAAGTACATACCTGAATCTCTTATCCAAACCCTAACTCCTCTCCCTCTCCACTGAGCAACAATATCCATCCAAAAAAGGTAAAGATCACTTTTAGATTATGCTAACCCATGTCTAAAAAAAGCAATATTTTATCTATATTGGATCTTCACTCTTTTCCTTTCATCTTTAAAAAAGATGTATGTATGGCAGGCTTATTATAATATTTAAATATAAGTTCTAACTTCAGTTTAAAAATTAACTACCACAAAAATATGACTTTCTATCTCTGCCTATACCATAAGCTCCTACTAAATTGCTAAATGTCTAGTGCCTGCTCATCCAGAATACATTTCTTTATAAACACACACACACACACACACACACACACACACAATACTTTCTTATCTATATAAGCACATTTTATAAATGTGGTCACATGATTTAACAACCTGCCTTATTTTAATATCTCTTGAAGATCTTTGTGAATCTACAGCTCAATTTATCCCCCTTTCATAAACAACCATATAGCTTAACTGTACACCCAAGTGAAATTCTCTATATTACTTGTTTCCAGGTATTTAGTATTAAAAAAGTTGTAAGACTGGAGAGAAAGCTCAGTGAGCTGAAGTGTATGCTTTGCTCGTGTGAGCCCTGGGTTCCCTCCCTAGTACCACCAAGAACAACACTTGAATACTATTGGACATGACCCGAAAAAATAAATAAGTCACCAAAAATATGCCTTATCTTTGAGTAGTGGTAAAGTCGTATGTGTTAGAAAATTCCTAGGAGTAAAACTGCTGGATAAGAGGATTTTAAACATTAAAACTGGGGCCAGAGAGATAGTATAACTGGCAGGGAGCTTGCTCTGCACACAGTTCACCCAGGTTTGATCCCTGGCACCCCACAGGTTCCCCTGAACTCTGCCAGAAACCACTGGTATGGCCCAAAATCAAAGAAAAAACAAAACATTAAAACTAATTCATGGACAAGAGCCATTGCGTAGTGGGTAAGGCATTTGCTTTGCACTCTCTCAATCCGAGTTCAAGCCCCAGAAACAAATGTTCCCCTAAACCCCACCAGGAGTAATCCCAGAATGAGCCTCAGGAATAAAAGTCCAGAGCACCACTGAGTGTGACCCCAAAACAAACCAAAAAACCCTGTAATTCAGTTTGCCAAATTGCTTTGTAAAATATTCATGCACAAATTACATTTTCACTAATGGCAGATGAGTTATCTCCAAATTTCATTTTAAGAATCCTGAAAAATTATACTGCTTCAAAATACATTAGAATCTGCATAAATCTTATAACACTTTCTCTCAGAATAATCACTCATCTTTAATTTTACTTAAATCTTTATATAATTCAAGAGAAAACATTCTGGATGCAAACACATCTTCAGCTAACAAGTCCTCAAATTTTAGGTATCTTCATAACTATGTCATCCAAATTATTTCCAAAAAATTATTTAACAAATCAAAAATACATAATAAAGCTAGCTAATACATTTAAAAGAAAGTTTGGTGGGAATTTACGATGTTTTATCTGCCCACTCAAGTACGAAGGCCACAAATAAAAAAAACTATCAATTCATAGCAGTGGCCAAATTAGCCTACATGAAATAATAAGGAACAGATTTCATATCATAAATGTCAAAGGAACGAATTGCAACAGTAAGGAGAGCTATAATTGAAAAGAAAGTTCACTCAAATTCACATCAGACTGAAAATGAAAACATTAATATTTTAAATGGAATGTTTTGAATGTAACTATTCATTTCAGTCATATCAGGCTATTATAAATCTTTGGCATAATAAATATGGCAATTTTTTGCAAGTAGATAATTTAAAAATGCATTATACTCTGACCTGTCTTTTCTGTAAAAATTAACAGGCACTCTAGGCTTCACTATTACATCAAACTCTCTTTGCTTGGACTTTACACTAGCAGTTTTACATTGAAAGTGTTGAACACATCTTTGGGACATAGTAAAACCTCATTAATTCACATCTTACTAGCTCAATTCTGGAATCGTATACATAATTCTCATTAGGTAACAAGTTGAAGAGATCATAATTTCTTCCTCTACAATACTATTCCTCTATAATATTACTGTGAAATAAAGAAAATCAACCTGAAAATCATTTGGTTTTTCCAATTGAAGACTTATGAAAACTAAGCATTCATCTATCTTCATGACAGAATAGTTCATCCTCAGTTCTGTGATTCATCCTTGTTTATCAACTACTACTAGAGTGAATGTGATATAACGTTTTAATAGACATTTATAGCCATTTACATTTCTCTTAACTATCTTATAACTTGTATTTTTCACAAAGCCATTTTTTGCAGTTTCTCTCATTTCCAGTTTTATCACTTACAGATTTGCAAGATCACAAATATAGCACCTGAAAATACACAAGAAGTTCATGTCAAACTACTTGTCATTCTTATTCTGTTTTTACTCTTATCAGCTTAAGTGACCTTGTAAACCATAATATGTCATCTCTGGATTAAGCGGCAAGTTTGGTGTTATTTAAACTTTCGAGTAACTATTCCCAGTGAACAGAGAAACCTTCTCCTGCAATCTGAATCATGTGTAATTACAATATGACAAGGTCTCTCCTGGGCTACGTTAAGCTGGCATTTTTCCCAGGACTTGTCACATCATAGGAAGCGCACATACAAATAAAAATCCAAAAATAAACATTTTTAAACAATGACTTATAGACTACGTAAAGAAACTCCACAGTTGAGAATCAAAATTGAAGAGCCAAACCAACCCGCAGACTTGCCTCATTAGAGCCATCTGAGAGGGTATCAGTGTGTGATCAGGCAGCTTACCATACCTAGCAACCACTCCCAGGTGTGGGCAGCACCCTTGGGCCCTCAGGCTGGACAGAATATCATTAAGTGTGTGTGTGGGGGGCAGTCAACATCACTGCATACACCCACTGAAACCCAGAAACAAAGGTTAAATATGGAGAAGTTAATCATCTCTAATTTCATAATGCTACTTCATTGACCATTAAGACACCTATACAAATTTACCTTAAGAGCTACATTTTCTGCCAACCAACTTAATTTTTTTAATACCATAATGAATACTCAGTCTTTTGGTTGTTAACTGTTCTTCATCGCAAAGTGAACAGCAACCAAATTGTCCTAATAGCGTATATCAAGGATCTTAGAAGGTGGTTTCTTTTGTTTAAATTCCTCTATGGCCACTCTAGAGACACATGGAGAAGCGAGAGCAAGATTCCAGGAGCATCATTTCCAGCCTGTACAGTGACAGAAACTCATCTCTTTCACAGTTCTGAAAGTATGAAGTATATTATCTCTGGCTGCATTTTCATGTAAGATGCTAGCAAAATCCAAATGCAATTTCCTATAAGAAATGCGTCTTTCCAACGCTCTTTGAGAAGCTGGTTCATTTATTGAGCATTACAGCCAAACCCATCAAATTTCAACTGTTCAAGTTTTGTCAGAGAAGTATAAAACAAATCACTAAAGACAAAACATACAACCCTGGGTGCCATTCCATGGGCTCTGGGAACAAAAACTAAGCACCAACACTAACCTCTGCCACCTCTAAGGCGCACAGCATTTCTCCTTTCTTTATTCAGTCCCTGAATGCTCAATAATTTCCACATAGCTCTAAGCAGAAAGGATTTATTATGATGTTACTCTAAGAAACTGCAGGACTTCTAGATGCCAATAAAGATTACGGATCAAATGGAAGATAACTACTAACCATTGTGTCGACTTAGATAAATAAACCTGCTCACAAACAAAGCACCTTATTGTATTTGTACTGTTACCTCCGCTAATCCAACTAAAACAACCAGACAGTAGCTTTGCAGAGGCTGAAGGGAATAGAAATCGAGATTTCTCCAGTTCACTTTAGATTTCTTTTGAAACAACACCGTGTTTCTTTTTCACGCCCCTCCCCTCCCCACGCTGCCCCCCAAACGGTTCCTGTTCTTTATGCGAAATGTTTGGGACCTCAGAGGCTGAGGTGGATTATTATGCAAACTCAACACCCAGACTCCAAACCAAGGTGGGGCAGGTCTGAAGCCCAAGGCAAGACAATACGGTTCCTCTAAAACTTCGCTTCGACCTTTGCAAGCAAGCACCTCTTCCCTGCTTAGCACATAAGGCACACGCCTGGCAAAGCGGCTCAGAAGCTAAGGAGCAATCAAATGCCATGGGGGGGTGGGGGGTGTCAAGCGATAAGTAAGTCCCCCATCTCCTCGCCCCCCCCCAACCAGACGTAAAACCCCGAGGGTGGGAGGCGGGGCGGCTAACCACACAGAGAGCAAAGTCTGGACGACTGATACCCACTGTCTCATATATAGGGAGGAAGGCAGAGGGGACCCCCAAAGAGAGTTGGAGAGACGTAACAATAATCACCTTCCCTGTATTCCTGGCGAATAACACAGGTAAAGGGCAGTTTCCCTGGGATAAAAAGACGCCGACTGTTTTTTCCTTTCCATCCCCACTCTCCAGCCCTCCAAACCCAACTACTAATTGCACCTTCCCCGCAGAACCCGCGGCTAACCCCCGAGGACCGGTGAGGGCTGGCTCGGCATAAATAAACACTCGACACCTGACGGTCCTTTCTCTGCGGTGACTTTCACGAAACCCGAGTGGTGCGCGCGCGCGCGCGGGCGCGGGCGCGGGCGCGGGCGGGAGCCCGAACCTGGCCCGGCGCGGCGCCGCGCACCCGGGTCCCGGGGCTCCGCCGGCGAGCGCGACGCGGGGGGGCGGGGAGAGGAGCAAAGGGGGAAGGGGAGGGGGGGACCGCCCGTGCCAAGCGATTGTTTCCTCCACCAGCCAAGACATTTTTTTTTTTTTGAGCCAGCGCCTTTTGTATTCCGGCCCTACCTCTTTTTGGCCTAGGGAAGCTTTCGTGCAAGTGGAAGACGACTTTCTCCACAAAGTGCTGTATGTTACTGTGCTCCGGGCCGCGCACGAACACCATCCAGTCGTGGGTGAAGCCCTCCACGGTGGGTTTCTTCCTCACCTGGGCGCGGTGCCCCAGCTCCAGCTTCACCTGCACGGCACACTGCGGGCAGGGGGAGGAGAGACAGCCGTGAACAACAGGAAGGCGGCCGTTCGGCACTCAGCGTTGCGCCTGACATTTTTTTTCCTCCTTCTTGAAACGCACATAAAAGGAAACAGCGGTGCCCTCTGCATCCACGTTGCATGCGCGTGGGCGCGCACACCCCCGCACCCCCCCCCCAAAAAAAAGAAACCCCACCCGGCCCGGCCGGGGCACCGCATCCACGCCGGCTAGGATTGTAACGGAATGTTACCCCCAGTCGGGAAAGGGGTCCAGGGGTCGGCAATGGGGGGGTGGGAGAAGAGGGAGAACACACTCTGCGACTACCCACACGACCACAAATGCATCGTAAACAAATTAAAAGACAATTAGGAGGCGATGCCGGCGCGGTTTCCCGGCGCGGAAGGGGAGGTAGCTGGAACCCCGAGAGGGGGTTTGTGAGAGCCCCCTCCCCGAAAGTACCGCGGCGACAGGCACACGCCGAGGAAGTCTTTGTGTACGTGTATGTGTGCGTGCGTGTGGAGCGCGGTGCCAGACGGAATGGAAACTACAAGCAGCCTCTCTGCTGATGGGCACAAACTCCGTGCTCTTACCACGGGGTTCGTGCACAACAAAAATGAGACGTCGCCACGCGCACACACACACACACACACACGCCCGCAGGCAAACACGCCGAGGCATCCATAACTTAAGGCACCCAGCACCACCCCCCCTCCCCGCGAAAAGCCCCACGCGATCCGCGAGGCCAGCCCAGCGGAGCCCCCGCAACACACTTCCAAGAGCCAAAGTGGCCCCAAAGTACCTCCCACCTCCCCCCAAAAATGAAATTCAGAACGGCGGGGCTGCAGGCGAACAGGCGCCGAGCCTCGCCTGCGCACAGCCCCGCGCGGGGGCAAAGTTGCGTGCGGCCCCGCCGCTGTCAGCCCGCACACTCCGGCTCACACACGCGCGCGGCGGAGAACGCACCATCGTAGTGGCCGCCGAGGCTGCTCGCCGCGTCCCCGGACTGTGCCCGCGGCTCCCGGCGGCGGCGGCGGCTGAAATATGGCTGAGTTATTATTCGCCTCCTTCCACCGTGTGTGTATGTATGTGTGTGTGTGTGTGTGTGTGAGTGCGCGCGTGTGAGCGAGAGTGCGCTTCTTGCGATTGCAAAGAGAGGAGAGGAGGGAGGGAGGCACGGGGGGGTGGAGGGGCGAGTGTGTTAGTGTGTGAGTGTATGTGTATGTGTGTATGTGTGTGAGCGCGCGCCGGGGTGGGGGGAGGGAGTGGAGCGGAGGCTGGGAGAGGCAGCAGCTCCCTGCAAGCCGTACCAACCTTTCTCTAATTGGAACCGCGGAGCGCTGGCGCTGTCTAGGCTGCGGCGGCGGCGCAGGGCGAGGGAGGAAAGGCGGGGGGTGGGGGTGGAGGGGACCGGGGTGGGGGGGTCTTTTATTATCTTTCTTTTCTTGCCTCCTTTTTTTTGCATGTACTTACCGAGCTAGCCATGCCTGGGGGCCCGGAGGTTTGCTGGGGTGTTGTGTGGTACCCCCCTCCCCCGCCCCCCTCAGCTGTAATTCATGAAGACGCTGCTATGAATGAGAGCGCGCCCAGGAGCGGAGGGTAGATGGCGGACATTCTCTGCCTTTTTCCCCCCGCGTTCGCCTGCTCGCTCGCTGGCTCGCTCGCTTATTAAACTCAGCCCCAAAAGCAAAAGCAGCAGCAGCAGCAGCAGCAGCAGCTCCAGGGCCAGAGGATGAGATTCCGGAGCATGCGCCGTGGCGCCTGACACCGGGGCTCGGAGCTGCACGGGGCGGAGGGAGGGCGAGCGGGCGGGGCGGAGCGCGCGGGGAGGCCGAGCGAGCCAGCCAGGGGGAGCTCGAAAGAGCCAATCACCGGCCTCCTCCCGAAACCCCGGCGGCCCGCACCGCCACACTGGAACGCCTCGCTTAAAGTAACAGGTTCCTGCTGGCCGGGTGGGGGAAGGTGGAGAAAAGGGCGGGGAGAGGGCGCTGGAGTCGGGGGAGCGGCCAGCTGGGGACCCACCCCAGCCCCTGTGTAAACTCCTCACGCCCTACAATAAAAAACGGATTAAAACTGCTGGAATGTAGCCACTGCCTAGAGCCCCCGGTAGCCGGGGACGGGTGTTAAATCAAGTCTTCGATGCTAGCTCGCTCGGGGAAGGGGGGGGGGGGGCGGGGGGGGGCGCCTTTCTCTTACTTTCCACCACGTCTTTTTGTGGTTTCTGTGCTGAAAAGGCAAAAGCTCACATTCAAACAAACTTAAGGGAAATGCCACCTGCAAACTGGCATCGGAAAGCGACTACTCTCACTGGCACGCATTTCTCCTGGCCCCTTTCCCGTTCACCACCCCCAATTCCCCGTTGGGAGGGGGGACATGGATATACACTTATAGATGTATAGATATATGTATGCATATCCTAAACGAAATGAACCAGAGAGGGACACGCAAGAACGCTATTTCCTTCTACGGAATCGCCTCCGGGTTGGCAGTCCTGGGCTGGGAGGCGTCACAAAGCGGTGCCCAGGTGAAAGCGAGACACCTGGGAATGCCGGATGCAGCTCCTCCGGGAACCGAATTGGAGTTGTTTTCTTCGAGAGGTTTCCCCTCCTGACAATCTGCGGGGTTGCATCAGAACCTGGACTGCAGTCCTCTGAGGACCCCGGGGCAATTGGGAGTCTTAAAATAGCAGATAAAGTTAATACTGGCTGTAATGTGCATAAATTGGATTATAATCTTTAAACGTATTGGTGACAGTCAACGTAATCCATCTCTGGATATTCATCTGCTTATGCCCCCGGGTGACAACCAGTCTCTGGAGTGATCACAAAGGCGCGCTCCTACGAAAGTTCCCACCCGGGGTGCATTTGGTCTCGGTGGCCCCGAGAAAAGAGCGTAGCCACGCGTGGGGAGGGAGGAGGAGGGCTGAAGAGTTTCCTTTAGCAAAGCAGACACCCTTTACAGAGGAAACGGATAAGATCTACGATTGATTTGAAAGTGAAAGATGGGTGTAACTTTGGTTGTTAAAGATCCTAGCGTCTGCTAGTTCCTGTCCCTTTCTTGCCGTCTTTATCTTCTTTGCTCCCTCTTTCCCCTGCCTCTCAAATCCTGCCTACGTTTTCCTTTGGCTGCTTCCGCCCCTCCCTCACCTCTGCGAATTTATCTATCCTCTTTCTGGCTCAACTTTCTGCCTTTCTTCTTTTTCTTTTCTTTTCCTTAAAACTCTGAAAACACATCGTCTCTGCCCTTGGATTCAAGAGAGAAGTGTATAGGCAAAAGAAAATTACCTGGACATTTTGTTTTATTTTTAAATTCTCCCAACTTACCACTAAATGGTAAATGAGTCAGATCAGACCACTCTGAGTTTCCTTCACTTCCAATCCAACAAGTTTCCAATTTAAATGATTTAAATGCCTAGAAAAGATATTTCACTGTGCCCCATTTACTATCAAGAAAACTCCTTAGGATTAAGGACCCCAATTAGCCCCCACCTGCCTGGAGTGTGGAGCACTAGGAGAAGCGTTTTTAATCCAAGTCCTTGGGCTTGGGTTAGATTTCTCCATTTTCCCACGTATACACTAACGCATGTCCATGTATAATGCCAATTTACATTCACATAGACAAACTGTGTATGTGTGAACCTTGGATCTACCTGCTATGGTTTATTAAATTTTTGACAAAATAATAAACTTGGAGAGAAGTTCTTTGGAATAGTGAGATTAATAAAAAAGCTGATTGATCTGGATGTGCCTTAGTCCAGCCATTTCCTTCAATGCGCAGCCATTGAGCAAGCAAGTCTAGCTCAGCAAACAGGTGGAAAACGAACAGATTCTTCATTTGAGTTGATTTCAGTGTTTGGTTCACTTCTCCTTCTGCTAATTGTGCTCTCTTGGATCCACTCTTATCTTGAACTTGCTCTGAGTGACTGGTGTCCCCTTTTTTAATCACATGTTGGCTGAATTGATGTTCATTCCAAGAATCACAAACAAGACAAAGAACTAGAAAAGGTATTTTCCTATTATCTCTTCAAGAGTGCATTAAAAACCCAGCTGTGTGAGGGTAATTCTCATTTCCAGAAGCTGGAAAACTAGATTCTGTCAGTAGATGGCGCACAGAGTCCTTTCACAGACGTCCTTATGTGACCCCCCGCCCCTCCAACAACAAAATGAGAAAAGGAAACAACTCTGGCTACTTTAGATTCAACTTTTAGGCAAATAAATTTATGCCAGATTACTTATTATTTAAATTCTAATCTATCAATTTGGTTACAAATTTAAAATCAAAACAGAAATAACAGCATCAGTTTGGTGTCCACCATATACTGTGAACTCTACACTGTGAAGTGCAAATGTGAGAAACAACTTTTTGTGTACTTATTGTTTACTTGTTATTGAAATTACAAAAGCAAAATCAAAATGCAAAATCAACTTCTTCAACACTGAGAAAATATTCTATGAAAATATTGCAGGTTTAAAGTTATCTATCTCTCCTAACAGCAATGATCTACAAAAATCACACTGTAGTACACTGTAGTATGTAGCACAGGGGACAAAGTACATATAAGTTATTCTTTTTTTTTTCCCTCAGTGCTTGGTACAGTGCTCAGGGATTACTCCTGGGTCTGTGCTTCTGTGAAGACCCTGAGGGATACTTCCTTAGGGTATACAGGGGACCGTAAGCCTTGCAAAAATTGAACAGGAGTCAGCAGTGTACAAGGTAAGTGCTTTAAACCCAGACCCAGTGGAGTTGTTTTTAGGAGCAGAAAAGCAAAGAAACTGACCTTATGATACTAAATGAAACCCTGGATGAAGAAAAGAATCGGATACCGTCCAGGGAAAATCCTAACTCCTGTTTTTAAGACCTCTATAGAGTAACTAGAATGTGAGGAGCAATTGGTTCTTTGGAAGTAGAGGGCACACCAAGAAGTCCTGGGGGGCTATCCTACCTCTGTGCTCCAAGTGACTTCATGTGGTGCTCGCAAGAACTATGTGATGCTGGGGATCTCACTGGGGTGGACTATAAAAAAGACAATAACCCTAACTCCTGTGCCATCCACCTGTTTTACACTGATTCTAAGTTGAAGGATTGTATATATTTATTTTTTGTAATATATTATCAATGCATAAACTCAAATAATGATCAATAATAATTATCCACTGTTTATCCTTGGCTGTGTGGGCTTGAGGGGAAGGGAAGGAGGGGGCAGGAAATGCAACAGGCACTAAGCAGACACTAAATCCAAAAATTTGACTCCAAATTAGTAATGTTTTCTTCACTATGGTATACTTAAAAGTATACATCATCCATGTATTTATTTGCCAAAATTGAAAGTCAGAGCTCCTGTTATCACAGAGATCATGGTCCAGTGGGAAAGTTTCACCAAAGCATCTCTTCGTTCTCCTTGAATTCATTAATACCTAAATTTGGGACAAAGTTGTGTGCCACGCATAAGCAAGCAGCATACAAACTTGACATGACCAGTTCAAGGACAAGATATATAGTGATTATAAGTCAGGAATCATTGCCTTCAATACCTTTAATACTGAAAACAAGGTAGGAGGGGAGTGATGTTTCCAATAGCAGCCAAGTCCTAATTTTATTTTTCTTGCTCTGAAGGTTTTCTCTGTTCACTTTATTCTAACTCTTTAAAAAATAATAATAAAGATTTTAATGAAAGAGACTTTACTGAGTATTCAAAATCATGAATATATTTCTCAGTTCAATCTCCTGTTTCCTGTGTGTGTGTGTGTGTGTGTGTGTGTGTGTGTGTGTGTGTGTGTGTTGGAGTTTTGGGGTCACACCTCGTGGTGCTCAGGGAATCACTCCTGGCAGTGCTCAGAGTGGGCTGATGCCATATGTGATGCCATGGATGGAAGCTGGGTTGGCTGCACACAACTGCCTTAACTTCTGTACTATCAATCTAGACTTTACCTCACTATTCCTTAAAGAAATTTTAATCCCTTTTAATCTAAAATGTGACATCTCTAACATTACGTTTAATTCATAATTTGAAATAGTTTATTGGGAACCTCAAAATAGTAATGAATCATTAATACATTGTAAAGAAATAAATGCTTTGACGTTTACTTAAGCATCTAGTCCAGGATTATTTCTGAAGACAAGGAATAAAGAGAGCTTTTTTAACCACCAGAGTCTCTTCATGTGTAAATTATTCCCTGAGAGTAATTTAAGCAATGCACTTGTAAATTCACAAGACAAGCATGTCTCTACAGTAATAATTTATTAATTTAGTAGGCTGTATCCCTAATTTAATAAATAGCACCTCAAGGCCTGAAAATTAATCAAGAATGTTATATAAGTTGAACAACATGAAAAAAATGGAGATCAGTTGATAAAGTGTGATTGAAAATGTCTTTTTGATACATACAAGAATCTTAGTGGAATATTTATAGGTGAAATATGTATTAAATTGAAACTGCTTGCTGTAAAATAAGCAATTCAAAAAGTAGATCACTTTTCTGTATCTTTATGTGTCGCTGATATTTCTTCAAAGGTTACTGAACAATTCTTCTCTTTACATAATGATTTGAGCTTCTTGACTTTCCAATGGAAAGTCTGTTTTTATATATGATTTTCTCTCTCTGATTTATGTACTCTGAGTGAAAAACTAAAAATAATCACCTAAGGCCAGCAAAATATCTCAAAGGATTAGAGTGCATGCTTTGCATACAGGAACCTCCGATTTGATCCTCAGCACCACACTTCTTACCCCAACCCCAGCACTTCTGGGAGCA